AGGGAGAGAGTAGGTCGAGGATAAATGAGAGAATGGGTTTAGGATAATATAGGTCTGTCGTCTGATTTGAAGCTCAAAATTTAACAATTAGTTTCATGATTTCTTATATTTTTGTTTTCAGATGGAATATTTTCAAGATGATCTATATCCTGATGCCAAGGTTACCTGGCAACCAGTCATGAACAGTTGTGAATGGTTATGTGGAGAAAATAAACAACCAGCATTGATTAGTTTGAAACCAGAAGGAATGAAACCATGTATGTAACTTAAAAAATACATCCCACAATTTTTGTGTGAAAACTCTTGCATATATTTTCTGTATTTTTTTACAGCTTCTTTCTATATTTCTATTAGATGAAGTTGTAAACAGGAACTCATGTAATGACTGTTGTGTGTGTATGTACATCAATGACTGTATCCCGAGATGCCTAAAACAATCGCATTCAAACTTTACACATACAGCTTGAGATACTTATGCATATGTATTCAATAACTTAGATCTTGTCTTTGACAGTGAGTGAAGCACCTAAAGCAGTGCCAGCACCCAAGAAATATGAAAGTTACAATGAATTAGAATATAAATCTGATGACCAGAAAAAACAAGAGGTAAGAAATGGTTCAAATACCGCAATCAGTTTTAGTAACAGACCATCACTTTGCAATATCCCTATGTCTGGATCAAGCATCATTAGTTTGTATCCATCCATCAATTTGTTATTTAATTTAGATTCTCATTGTGCAAGGTTGTAATAGTTATGCTATGTTATTCAACTTGGTGTGAACATTGCACATGATGGTTTGATACATGTAACTTGATTCAAAATGGCTGACTGGTGGCCATGTTGGATTTATTTTCATATATTCTATAAACGAATGTCTTCAACCATGCTTTGACTGATTTTGTTAACACGCTGAATACTCTCCCAACATTTAATTATAATTTATAATCTCTGTCTATGATTGACACAATTGGTAAAAAATGGATGGAAGCTAGGTCACTAACAATGACTTGATTTAATAAAAATTTATAATTTGTTGTTACAAAAGTATTGTTTGCGTTCTAGTTACTTGATGCAATGCACGTAAAGCTTGCTGCCAGAGAAGATGAACCTCTACCACAGGATCTCATGGAAGGAGTGGAAGATGATGAATGGGTAAGCTGAATATGACATCATCATATTTGCATATATCAAAGAATGTGAAGAATAATCAGTAGCCGTATGCTGCAACCTCTGCACAGCTCACAAAAATTACAGTACGACCATTCTCAAGAGTATGAAAATTCACTTTTAGAATAAACATTTTCATCATAGTAATTTACATATTTTGACCATTGATATTTGAACATTTTTTTATTTCTAGGATGACTATTGAATGCTGAAAGATTATTGATGCACACATTATTATCTACCAAGATCTCAAGACTGGCACCAATCATAGTGGTCAACATCAAAAATGTTGATTGTTATTTATTTCCTCCACTGACTGTAGGCTGACATATGTTAACGGGACTCTCCTTTCTTCACTCCAAATTATAATGAACCCAAATAATAATGGTCTATTTTGCTGAAAGTTGAAGTTTTTTGAAAGATATGAGATGTCTAAGTCATTCATGACAACAGGAAGATGTTGTCGTGGAAATCTAGATGATAGACATCTTATTAGTATGAATTGATAACTCCTCCTTCAAGCTGATTTAGTCAGTTTGTTATTTATTTTATGGGTATACTATATCTCAGGTTTTTGTTAAACTGGACAGTGTTTTATTTTAAAATTGGTTGGTTGGTCTATAGCAATGGCATCTATTAAAACCTAAATCTGTAGCATAATAGTACATGCCTTAAAACATAATTCCTAGTTATATACTACATGTTTTTGTCAACTTTTCTAAACACTGCATATTATTGTGATGTTTTGCATTTGGCAATAGGCAATACACTAATGGTAACACAGTAATGCCTGTCTGTATTAAAATTATTTTATTTAACAGAGGTGTGCTGTGTGTATTCATATGAACAGTGAAAAGTCCATGTCCATGAACAACACATGTTTGGTTTAATCTATTCACCACCAGTTCCCTCTTTTCATAACAAATTCACAAAATAGTCCTTCAGAAGGTTGGGACAAAAATAGCCAATTTTTTTGATTAAAACATAAAAATTGACTTAAGTTTTGTCTGTTGGCTCCAAAATTAGGGTTTGTTTCCAGAAATATTGAAGAACACTAAAAGAAAGTGCATTTGGGCAAGAAAGTCTGGTGGTGAAACGGCTAGCAGAAGTGTAGTTTATAGAGAATCAACATGAACTACCGGTAACACAGTGTGTTTGGTTCAGACAGGTTTTACTGTGTATGCATCAACCATTCACTTCAAAGAATAAACAAATTATGAACATTTCACCATTTTAGTCTGAATTTTTACCAAATATGGGATTCTATTTGAATAATAGACTGCAAATAAATTTAGATGAAAATCTCATTAAAACCCCTAACATCCTTGGTTTAAGTAGATTTTAATCCTTTCTGCAACTTCTCCATACCATTTTAAGCAACTAATAAATTCATGTTGACAAAGACATGTATATGATGTTTCTGTAATATGTATATCCTTATATGGTCACAGTGGAGATTGATCTATAAAAGCTATACTCCCGAAAATATGTACTTTATTGAATATGTGCAAAAATATTGAAATTTAATTATTGACATTTTTTTCTTTTTCATTTCAGTATCGTAGAAATTTGTAATTTTCCTCGTTTGATTTGTTTCATGTTATATTCGAAAAATATATGTGCTTAAGTTCATATAATGACATTGTGATTTCAATGAAGCTCACTTACTGTGTAATTTCTATTCAAAACATAAATTGGTACAAAGTGGAATCTCAAGCAATCACAGTCAGACATATTTATCAAATATATTTTTAAATGACATTATTGGTATGCACAACATTTGTAACTTTTTTAAAGTTAGGCCAATAAAAAACGATTTTGCTTCTTTACCCGGGGAACTTGATAAATGTTGCTGATTATTCAATACCACAACAACAAGATATATGCTCAGTGTTTATCATTATTAAATAATACATTACTGTTGATTTGAGTTCACATAACATGATCCTCTGAATCAGAAAACAAACATTTCCCAATTTCTCTA